TGTGTGTGTGTGTGTGTGTGTGTGTGTGTGTGTGTGTGTGTGTGTGTGTGTGTGTGCAGCGTGTGCATGTTTTATGATTAATTGTTGTTTTGCTATTTTTGCGTACTTCTTGCCAGGCAAGCATCTGAAATACGTTTACATCTGAAAAATTGATAAAATTGAACTTTTCTGTATCAATAAAATTATATTTTTGTCCAATATCATTATCAACAATATAGTAACAATAAATTATTTCTTTACATAAACGTTAACAAATTTGTTTTCGAGCACGATTTGAAAAAGATAAATAATGCGTAATTAATATAAAATACGTATTCTCAAAAATATTTGTTGTCTATTAAAAAAAATCCTGTATACAAAATATGAAATTAATGTTTTAGGGTCACTATGCTTAGTCGATAGTGTACATACTACGCAAAGAATTCTTTCACTCTGCCCGAAATTGGCTAAGAGTCCGATAGAATGTGTTGTAGAAACTGATAGGCAAGTATAACGCATAATGACATGATAAAATTTTCTGCGATATAAGTTTTTTTCAATTCTTAATATTTAGAAACTTTTGTTTTTTTTTGTTCTAAACAAGTTAAAAGATTACATTTCGTAATAATATATCATAACAATAGACGTATTATAAGTTATAAGATTATTTTGAGACAAAAATTCTAATCCCAAAATGTCGAGATTATAATAATTTTTTAATTGTAATTATTTAAAGTTAGCGAATTATACCGCCTAAAATTTGCGCCTAATATTCAAGTATAGTACGACGCAAAATGTTAAAAGTGAAAGCTAATTATTGCCTCCTATAAATATCAATATAAATATATATTATGTATGAGAAGATACAATTGCTGCTAATTATTGCTAATTATTGATATTTCTTATGTTAAAAGATATTTTCTCTCGGTATTAAGATTCGTCTCAAAATGATCTCTGGAATTTTTATCTTAAGCATTGCTCCTATCTTTACGGAACACCCTATATGTATATAATATGAGTCATTTAGAAAATTAACTTGGCGCCAGTTGTAGATATCAAATCTTTTATATGATTGATACATATTAAAGTTAAATAACAAAAATAGTACCATTTGGTTTTACTTTTTTTAATATATAATGATAGAATTTCACTTGGCTAGTTAAGACTGTAGCATTTGGGTTTTAATTTTTAATTTGGTAAAATAATTTTGTTCGAGAAATAATGATTTTTGTCAAAGAATTAAAGTTGCTATTACTTAGGTGGAATAAGGTTGGAATAAGAAGAAGACTTTCAATAAAAATATCTTTGAAGGAGAATTAACACTATTACTTGGGTGGAAATAATAAAAAGATATGTAACGTATCACTTTTAGGTTTTACGAGAAGTATGTATATTTTTATTATTTTTAGCACCTTCTTTTACCTTATACATAAAACGTGTATATGTATATAAAACGTGAATCATTTAGAAAATAACTTTCTGTTACTAAAAAATCCGTTGAAGATATGACTTTTTTAGAAAGACCGATTTGATTGCAAAACTTGCGAATTGATCAATTTTCCAAATGCGAGTGTATTAGAAAATATACTTCTTATGTGTAAAGTAATTCTTTATAGATTTGGCTGTTTACGTCGAGTAGCCAATGGTGATGTCGACATCACTGTGTTGGAGCCAGAAGAACTTGTGGCGATAAGAAACTACAAACTATACAGTGTACTAGTCACGAATGAATTAAGACTCTTCTCAGAAGGTAATTATTAAGATAAAAAATTACGAGAAGCACATAAAGTGCCTGAACTTTATCGATATAAATTTCAATTTAAATATCAATCACTAATTTGTGGATAAATTTAAATTATAATTTTAATTAAGGAATTTTTTTATTTTATATTAATTATTATAAATAATCGGGAGCGATTTGATACCAAAAAATCAAACTACATTAAAATTATAATTATCTCAAATAAGAATAATTCTTTTTTTTAGAAGACCATCGTTTTAAGGTAGTGACAATAGCGCACAAAAATGTGCAACGCATATGGGATGTCAAAGGAAAGCGATTGTGTCATCCCGGTTTAGATACAGTTGATGATTGGACTAAAATTTTCTCAATGGTTGGTGAGCTCTTTTTTTTGTATCAGTCTGTATCAGCGTGTGTTTATCTGTCGATTTCTCGTATTTCAGTATTTTGAGAATCTGATAATTAAAAAAGAATGCGACCCAAATATGACGCTGTTCGAGAACAGAGTGCATGCTCTGTCCAATTACTTCGAAACGGCTTGCATCGCTGGCCCTTGGTCGGCAGATACAGCGTTTGATTATCAATTGAGTACGTATTCAATTACAAACATATGCGAATACAAACATTTAATTTTAAATGCGTGTGCAGATTTAGATTTATTTATAATCATTATATAATTTATTTATACAATATAATTTATTATAACATGTAATGCATGAAAGTTTTCATTTCTTCGTGTACGAATAAATGTCGGAAAAACCCTTATTATCATTCGCAGAATCGAAATATAGGAATCTCTGCGCCACTTGCGAGAAACCAGCCAGCTGTTACAACACCGATAAATATTATGGACGGGAAGGTGCCCTGTTGTGCCTCACCGATGGCATAGGTGACGTTGCCTGGGTCAGATTGAGAGACGCTCAAGTACACTTCAAGGTAACTAACAGTCAACAGACAATGCAATGTCTTTGAAACGATGAGCTTAGAAAGAACCGATCTCGCTCCAAGTTATTCTAAAAATTATTCTTATAATTTAAATGGATTGCAATGTAACTCGCGGTACTAACATCTAGCGTATTTGACACAGACACAGACAATCGATGTGCAAGATTACAAATTTCTATGTCCGGACGGCACCACGAAACCACTAAACTTTGAGGAACCCTGCATCTGGATATCTAAACCATGGCCGGTCATTGTAGCTAGACCGTGAGTGTTCTCTCTAAATATTCTTTGGAATGAGATTTCACTCTTTTGGAATAAGATTCACCCTAAAGAATTAAAGAGTTTTACGTCGCTCCTTCGTGAAGTGACTTTGTAACATTTTAATTTTTTTTTTTAATATATGATTTATGTAGGATTGAAATATTTTAAAAAGTTTTCCTTTTCAGATCGAGTGCTGAGAATATCGCCAATATGATGAATTTGATGATGAACAGAACGTCCAATTGGGAATCCAATGTCTTACAGTTGATGGAGAACTATTACATTGCCTCTACTGACGTGAAAGATTTGCAAACGCCCGACGATTACTTACATCGATGTAATGTATATACAACATGATTATTTATCTTTGACTTCTTGCAACAAGTAATTTGTTAAAACATATAATCTATTTGTTAATCACTGAACAATTACATAATTCTCAATTTCACAAACTTTCCCCGCATCTGATAACATTCATTATAACTATGTAATTTGTTAAGTTTTTTCAATCACATAAACATTTTAGTGTATGCAATTTGTTAGTCTCTATTTATCAAAAATCTATTAATAATTTAATTATTAATTATTAATTTAATTGTTAACTGAAATTTGACAGTGGAATAACTCTAATTTAAATTAGAATCAATGTATAAAAGTTTCTTATTAAAAAAAACCTTCTAGAAACGTTTATGAATATAATATGATAAATAATATATTTCGTTTGTTTCAATAATGTGGATGTTTTGATCAAAGATCCAAACTTCTTGAGCGCTAACATTCGAACGGGTTGTTTACCATCAAGAGACATACGTTGGTGTCTGGTATCCAATCTCGAAAAGCGTAAGTGCAGCTGGCTAAGAGTCGCTTCTATCGTTTACGGCGTGGAACCGTTGATCTCCTGTCTTCAAGAAACTAGCAGAGAAGCATGCGTAGAGGCCATACGGGAAGGAAGAATGGACATTTTTTTGTCGCGGCCTGAAGAGCTTCTCGAAAACAGAATGTAAATATACCTAAATAATACCTAAATATTAGCGGACCAACATGACAAATAAAAATTGAAAATATTTTTCCAAATCGCATTTCTCTCGCAGGATGGGTTTGAAGCCTATTATCCACGCAATGGCGCACAGCCGGCAAGAATTGAATAGGATTGCGGCGGTTGTCAAGAGGAATTCCAGATTCAGAGTTATGAAGGATCTTAAAGGTGCCAAGGCGGCCTTCACGGGCTACAGAAGCGTCGGTGCGATTATATAAATGGGATATAATTTCGTATTTCGCAGTTTCAGTTACTCCAGAATTGCTTTTAATCCATTTCGCCGTTATGGTCTCTTGGTCCCAGGTTGGAACGCTTTTGTAACGTTAATGAGGAACGAGTCAAACGGAAATTGGGACTGTTCGGATGCGCAGGCTATTTCAAAATTCTTCAAAGATAGCTGTGTCCTCGGATGGAATAATAAAAATAATGGCAACGAGCTCCCGGCTAATTTACATTCGTTATGCAAGGAAGGTAAGATATAGAGGACACACAGTCACGCTTATAAGCGTGTGCAAAGCGCTCGTAAATGAACTGTAATCATAAAGAGATATGGATATATATATAATAGACCGCGATATTTAAACTCTCACGACTCGCTAAGAACAATGTATACAAGAGAGATGTAAAACCTGTTATGACCATACAAGAAATGAGTTGATGAATAATCAGAATTGCAATATCGTTGCAGGTGCGGAACATGCTGATGATGATCTAAGTACTTTTAATTACTTGGCTTCCGGTGTCGTCGACGTTGCCTTCGTTAATTTAAAAGTCATAGAAAACAAAACAGAAGCCGGTGAGTTGAGTCGATTAATTGTTTCGATTAACTTTATTATGGTTTTTATCTAATACCTTCTAATATCACAGGTGATTTTTATTACGAGAAAATTGATAATAAGAGTATAAATCGTTTGCCTAAGTACAGAGTATTAGGTCCGACTTTGGCGGAAGCTATAAAAAGAGTTCCGTATTTGCTCGCTTGGACGTCTCTCGGATCGGTATAACTATTTTCTCTTTAACGTATGATATAGCTAATATTAGATGTTCTTATTGCAAATATGAATTTTTTTTGTCTTGGCAGATAATGGCACACGAGAATATCACGGATCTAAGACGCCAAGAAATTTATACGATGCTACTTGAAATGGATAACATATTTGGAAGAAAATTCAATGGACAAGCACCCACATTCTTATTATACGGGCCTTACGAGGATAATCATGGTGTTATCTTTCCTGTAAGTTGAGTACGGATTAGTTTTATTTCACGAAAAAAAATGTATGTAACTCAATCTAATACATGGAAAAAATTATTTTGTTGAAGTATTAAAAAATTTAGGTGGATAACGGATCTAAAGTAATTTTGTTAGACCATCAAAGTAATTATACTAATTATATTGAACGATCAAGCTGGTTGTTCGATGTCAAAACTTTTTCAGCAATGTCATCACGTTTGAGCGTCCTACATAATTATTTTGATGGTTTAGCTAAATTTTTAGATACTTCAGCAAAACTGTTTTTTTTTTTTTTTCCATATAGTAAAAACATTGTCGTAAAAAAATCCGATTATTCCAAATTGATTCAGTAAAGTTCACTCTGTATATAACAGAAAGGAAGAAAAAAGGAATTATGTTTCGGATATTAAAAATGCAAATAAATATTGAGATGCAATTGATTTATTTTGATCAGAGATGCGCCAGTTGAATTTATTGCAGCTCTGATTAAAATTTAACGATTCTCTGGTGAATCGCGCATTTGATCTAATTTGAATCTTCACACATGCAGTCTAACGGTCGCTCGATAATATCGATTTTTTCTGAGAAAATCTCGTTCCTCGCGCATCCGTAATACACATAGCCTTTGTCGCAATACGCCCAAGGAAAATGTGGACACTTAAAGGATACTAATGGTATCCCTTTGGCAGTCAACGCGATTACACCTACGTCAGATTCCGGTGGAAATGATCCTCCGATTTCTTCTTCGAAGTCTTTTAACACCTCAGTAACCGCTTCGTCGATCGACATCGCCTTTCGCCGCAATCGTCGTAAGATCCTCTGGGCTGGCGCGTATTTATAGATAGTTTTATCGCAACCCGAAACAGACACAGAGCCGCATTTATCAACGTAAATACCGCAACCGATCGCTGTTCCAGTCGCACTCACGATTCCATGCAGCTTTCCTGATTCTCCAGCTGTCGAGGTTCCGCTAGCCAGACGTTTTTTCCGATCGTATGCCACTGCTCCAACCGCGCCAAGCTAAAGTAATTTTCTTTAAAAGTCGTAGAAAATGTTTGTGTGTAGAATCGTAATATAAAAATATTTTAATTACCTAAAATATTCAGAGCAAAAATATATTATTGGGTCCATAAAGAAAAAAAAAAAAAAAAAAAAAAGAGAGAAAAAGAGATTTATATTTTGGAAGACACTTTTTTCTTCTATCTCTTTATCTCTCTTCCACAAATTATAAGCTTGTTAGACTAGTAAAAACATAAAAACATAAGCTATAATGTATAAAATTTTACATTATATGTATATAAGTGTTATTACAGATACGAGTTTATATTTAAAATATCTGAAGATTAAGGAAATTTTATAGCGTTTTCTCTTGGGATACACTGAGTGCAACCTTGCACCGCACTAGTTGCGTAAACGCTACAACTCAGCTACACTACACTAGAGTGCTGTACATTATATCATTATTACGTTGAAACCGTGTTCCCGCTTGACTTCCATTTTCGAATTTTAAATGTCACACTGGCTCTATACCGTCCCTTTGAGACGTCAAAATCCCACTTCGTACATAAAATTTGCACTACACCGTAGCCACGGAAACACGGTACACTATCCGAGTGTTGCACTAGTAGGCGATAGTGCAGCCAAGAGAAAACGCTATTAGATAAATGTAAAAGAATTTGACAATTATACTTTTGTTTGAATATTCCATTATGTAATTCGCGCGCGCGCCATTATGATAAATTTATTAACCTGTATAAAATCAGGTTCAATTTCCAAGGATTCGTCTATCTCTGCGACTTCGAGAATAGCACTTTCTTCCTTATCTCTTTCAATTACACATCCCGGTATACATTCTTCTTTATCGGATTGTTTGTCCCCATCGTCTAAAAGCTCTTGCTCTAAAAGCGTCTTTCTCGTATCTTCTTATGTTGATCAGTATCGCGATTAGTATTTTTAAAATTATAGTTCGTTTTCTCTATCCTTTACCGTTATTTTCTTCTTCGTGCAAGGATGTCTTCGAATCGGACATAACGATCAACTGGCCAGATGACAAAGTAGGGATGCCCGATTCCAAGCTAAACTTTTGCGCTCCAGCTTCAACTATCAACACATGTTCCGTTTGCTCTAAGACCATTTTGGCTACAAGAGTGTGAAGTATTGAAATTTAAGCAGATTATAAATAAACATAATCATTTCTCTGACGTAAGCGGTATCGCTAAGAAAGACAGACCTAATGTTATAGGATGTGCTATATTACGAACGGCGCCCACGCAACCTATGCGAAGATTATTCGCCATTATCGCGGCATCCATCACGACCTCTCCATTGGCGTCCAAGGAGCCTCCGTATGCACAGTTAAAGTATTTTTTCCTCTCCATGTGACAAATTGCACGCTCAACCGCATCCAGCGAGCAGCATCCTTTAGTTAGATCGTCATACGCCGCTATTGCGGCTTTCTTTACCTAATCCATTCATCATAAATATTCATAATCAACATTTTCATTACTAAACAATATTTTTATTATTTCTACAAAAAATGATCTTTTCTTGATTTTCTCAAACGACATATTAAAAAAGTGCCATCTAAGTAATACTCTGAAGTAATGGTCTGTATTACAGATTTTTTTTGGGGCTGTGCACACAAAGTTGTTTTCCTAGAATCTTATATTGTTTAAAGTGTGTAATGTGAATAGCGAATAATTTAACCTCGTCGAGCATAAATTTCCGTGCGTATCGGGGTATTCTCCCAGCTCCTCCATGAACAATGATAATCGGATTTACTCCCTTTTTCTTCTTTTTCTTAATTTTATCCTCGGCATCGATTTTGGCCAAGATTTTACTGATCCAGGTGCAATAATCGCACGTTATATCAGTAATGTGTGTTTCAGGATTTTCATTGCCTTTTAACATTTTTCTTTGCAAAAATCTCCTAAAGCGTCCGTCGAACGAAAGCTAAATACTGGTGAATTTTAATCGAATTGGAATTACGTGAAAGTGTCACGCATGTGTTATTCGCGTATAAAAAATTATGACGATGTTATTTTTTTTTTTTTTTTTTTATAATAAAATATGCAACGTTAACGTATAGTAAGTAAATACGATTGCATTTGAGTACGATAATAAATATGAATTTTGTTATCGCAGGATGGCACACGCTACTTACAGCTACACGGTCATCAGACATTAAAAGGACGCAATTACGACCAAATTGTAGAAGAGTTGGTGAAACAAGAAATTTGCAATGCTGCTAGTGCATGGATTTCTCGTCCAGAGAAATTCATTCTTTTCCTATACATGATAATAATCTTCGCTCTAAACAGATTATTGAACTGCTGACGATGGATGGATAGATTACGCTCTCTATACAATGTCATATAAATAGGATAGTTCATTATTGGTGATGTAATTTCGCATAAAAAGATAAATTTTTTTTCACGCAGTTTTACTTTCGAGAAAATCAAATTGGGAGATTGGACAATTAACTAATTAATAACAAGTTAATTAAGTTTGCATAATTTTCAATAATATAGTGCTATACACCGAAAGATAATTAAGTAACAATTACTATGGCAAATGTAAAAATTCTTATAAAAAAATGTAAATTTTCAATTTAACAATTTTAACATATATGCTTTAAATATTTATCTAAGTTATTATGAATAATTTACATGAATAATTTTTTAAAGCATTTATTTAAAATATATTTACATATATTATATATTTATATTTCTTTGTATATATTTATATTATGTATATGTACATGCATGATGTATATGCATGCATAATATAATATAATATATACATATGTGTATACATTATATGTATATATATAGGCCTGTTTTCAAAACACGCTTACAACGGTTGGTTACGCGTTAACATCCTATATTATGATTGCATTTAACACAAAACGTTTATTTTGCAACTATTGGAAGTTTTCTTCGCCCTGGATTGGATTATTTTTAGATCTAGAAGAATGATCCTATCTCAGCAGATAATCATAAACGATTGCAAAACTGTTGTGTTCTGCTGAACACAGCCATTATTTTACATTACGCATATTAGAGAATTTTAGAAATAAAAACGCATTCTGAATATAGGCTACAATATACATACGCATGTACATATTATTTTAATTTATATATGTATCCTCGTTCAACACTTTAATATTTTTTTATTTCTTTAACTAGGATATTTAATTTCTTATATTTGTGTAATTGTTATTTAAATTGTAAATGATTGTGTAAAAAGATAATTTAAAAATTATCTAAGCTTAATGACAGAAATAATTGTTTAATAATAATAACAATTGCTTAATAAAAATTGTTTAACAGATCTCGAAAGTTATTATTAAAGTAGTTGAACAATTATATCAAAGATATTGAAGTAGAATGATTGATGTTGAATAATTACTGCAGTTATTAAACAAACCAGTTCTTTTATGAAAATTTTTTCTACATTTATTTTTAAAATAAAATCATATCATCTCAATTATATTATCAATAATAGATTACCTACATAAAAAAAAACTCGATATCAAATCGGCTAGGCTATGTATAAAATTCTATGTATATTTTAACTGTATAATCTTATCATTTGTCCTTATGTATATATGTTTTATACGATACACTATATAAATGTATGTATAAATATGTTATGAATACTATTTTTTTCTACATCTATTGGTACTTTTTTCCCTGGACGGAATATTGTGTATTATTATATTACAGAAAGATACAAATAAGTGCACAAAAATCTTGTTCGTTTTATATATAATAAGATATATAAAATTATAACAATTTAAATGTACTTGATTGCACATTGGAAAAATTCAATATTATTCAAAGTTATCAAAGACAATTAAATATTACCTTGAAAATCTTACAAATTACAATTTCGGAATAACGTAAAATTCTATATCTCTCGTTAATTAAGAGCACGAATTTCAACTTATGTGTCTAACAAGGGAATTGTCCCTCGCCGATTTTAATGAGTTTTAGAGTATGAAAAAATATTATAGACATATTTTTTGTTTAAGTTTATCTGGAGGTTTAGGGAGTGAAACATCCCATCAAAAATAATGGATTGTATCATTTTTCTTAAATATCTTTTAAACTATGAGGTATATCCAAAAATATTTTATATAAAAGCTGTATAGTTTCTTATGCTCTGTATAACAGCATAAAAGACATGTTGCAAAAATCAATTTTACACATTGTTATAAACAAATTGTTATAAACATATTAAAAATTGATTTTTGCAACATGTTTTTTACGTATGTACAGAACATAAGAAACGATACAATTTTTATATAAAATATTTTTCTGTTTCATAAACCTCGAGATAAGCACAAACAAAAAAATATGAGTCTAATATTTTTTCATGCTCTACAACATATCCAAAGTTCATCAAAATCGATGAGGGACAATTCCAATCATTCTCTTGTAAATATTACTTTCTGTGACTAGCATCTTAATTATCTATTGCAATAATTGCAAGTGCACATATACACTGGAAGTATAAAATCTGTGAATCTTTCTATATCCAATTCTCGGAAATAACAATTGTAATTCTTAAAAAATTATTAATGCCTGTATTCTCACTTTATTAATATATCTATTTTCGTTTATGATATTGAAACGTATCGCGAAAATATGTCCAGTTCTTGTAAAAATTCCTCTTTCTTTGAGTAATAGAAATCTTTCTTCAGTTTATGTATTTCTATGTTACCAGATTCCATGCCAATAGCCTAAAAAAATATATATTTAAATTTATAACATAAAAAATCTCTTTCGAGCTCAAGATGTTAACTTTTTAAACTCACCAGATATTGATTTGTCATATCTTGATCTATTATGCAAGGGGATAGCTGCATGCTGCTTATCTTTCCCCATTTTCCCATAGGTAATGTATGTATAGGGCAGATATCACTCTTACTCAAATCCCATACGTGAATTCTGTTAAATTTATAAATTTCGTAATTACTCTTATTTTATTTGCAATTTTATTCATTTCATGAAAGGTGTACTTACCGAGAACTATTATCCAGAGTATATATAGTCAACGGTTTCGTTTTTGACCATTGCAATGCTTTAATCTCATCCGAATACTGTTCGTTTTTCAATTGTACGATCGGTCTCTCTATATTTAAATAATGAAGTCGAATTGTTCCGTCGTTACAGCCAACCTGATGGAAATCAAATTAAGATAAAAATAAAGCTTTTAAGATGAACGACGAAAGAAGTCTTACCCAGAAAAAAGATTGACCAAATGGACAAACATCAATGCAAGTTGAAGTACCGCATTTACCTGTAATATTTAATTGAAATAAATTTGATGTTACACACAATACACGTTTGATGCATACATCGAAGTAATATTATTTTAACTCACTTATTTCAGCTGGTTTGTATGTTAATGGATTAGTTCTATTACCAATATAAGTAGCATGCAAGACATCGGTACTGTTAGTTGCAATATAAATATTATTTGTATTTGCACTGTCTACATGCATATCGACAAACATGTTCATTCTAAAAGAAAATTGAACAGTTAGAGGAATCTTAGACATGTACTGAGCTTTCCAAAAACACGTCTCAAGTCTATTTTATTTACATTTCTGAGTTTTTCTTCGTCAAAAACATTTTCTGATTCTTTATAAGTCTTATGTTACCCCAGTGAGAAAGCCCTAAATCGTCTATATTCATACCCATATTGTGCAAAATACTCCATATTATGAGGCAACCATCTTCGTCTAAACTACATATCTATCAAAGCAATTTAAAAATAAGCGTGGATTAGTAGAGTTAAATTTTAACAGATCAGTATCAATACTATGATGACAACCTGAATAGGAATAAACTTGTTGCTCCTTTCTTTAGCACAGATAGTTTCGATCTTAGACAGTACGCGTATCGCAACAACTTGCGATGTATGTGCATCTAACTCTGCCGTTGTCGTGTAAGTAGGCGTTCTGATCACCCAATCTAACTCATTAGCTTTATCCGTAATCTTCTGATGCCACATCTCATCCTCCTTAAGGTCCCAGAGACTCAACGATCTAATTATAATATTTTATATTTTTAAATTGTTGTAAAAACTATGAAAAAGCTTTAAAGAAAACTCAAGTTGCATACCCATCCTCGAGTCCGGCAAATACCGTGTTGCAATTCGTTAAGTGAAAGCAACAAGCCGTAATAGGGCATTGCGAGTAGAATAATTTCTTCGGCATCGAAGGTTCGGAAATATTCCAAACGCATCCGATACAACAATCAGTGATGTAATCCTGTTTACTTATGGTTTCTAACTCCTATTCAATATACAACAAATTAATTACGTTTTATTTTCAATTAATTAATTTGTTTTATAATTAAATAGTATAGCAACCACGTACCTCTTCCACAGGAACGTGAATAGTGAGCAGAACTTTATTTAAAACATTCGAATAATGTATAATCTTAACTGATCTGGTAGCTAAGAATGTTACTGTATCTACAGAGAGCTTCACGAAACCATCACTGAACGCTAAGTCGCCCACATCATTTTGAAAAACGGTGCCACCATGTTTTCTCTCTTCCAACAACGATAATACAACCGCGCCCGCGCGATTAAGAAAATCGTTTAACCGCAATACATCGTACGATGGTCGTGACAAAAAATTTATATCGTCCATTTCGTCCAAATCATTTCCAACGCCTAATTGCTCCTACAAATTTTTAGAACGTTCAGAATTATACTTACCGATATCTAGAGACACGGTAGTGTTTCGACGATAAGACATGGCGCGAGACACTGCCGTGCTTTTATAGACAATAATGTAAATTATTACCATTTTAAATAAATTTATATCTCGTTTATCATGCAATTCTTTTCTACAAGTTATAGGAAATTGCGTCCACTTGTTCTTACAAGGCATTTCGTCCGTTTGTATCTCAATGTCCATATTGTCGTCGCCGGTTTGGGTAAACACCTATAGAAAACAGTATACAATACTCAATCAATCATGATACAATTGTCATAAAGTGTTATCTATATAATAACATACTTGTTGCGTATTTAATTTCCCGTAGTTTCTTATGAATTCATCATAGGGTATAGGATTGCATTCTAATAATGACCATTCCATAAAGTCCAGCTTTATCATTTCCAACAATTCTTCGCCTCTACTTCTTATCTTTCGAGAGTTCTGCAAAAGATAAAGCAATTTAAATATATGATATATGTATTTGATATTATAATATGAATTTAATATTATGACGTTCTTGTGTAAATTACCTCCTCACGGTGATTTTCTTTTGGTTTACGAAAATCGATAAATGGTACTTGCGATAGCGGCGGAGATCTAGTAAAATCCCCAGAACGGCTATCCTCGAAGCCTTCATCAGTGGACGACGGTAAAGATTTATTTTCCGCCGGTCTATCGTCACTGCTCCAAATAAATGTAAACACATTAAATTAACCATATATTTTACTTTATTTTTTTTTTTTAATAAAACGCTTTAGAGAAAAACATGCAAATAAAAAGTGTAACAATCATAGATGACAAAAAATGTGCAAGTATAATCAAGTATAATAAGTTTACAAGTATTCATTTATTCATTCTTGATACTTGATCTTAGTTATCACAAACCTAAACGTTTTACCAACTGGCTCTCTTAATTCAGGTAACGGCGGTGTATTGGATTGCGTTAAAAGCATAGATTCTACCTGTGCTGCTCGTTTTTTCGCTTCTGCTAGATCGTAATGTCCTGAATCAAGCATATGTTCCTCTTCGACCTTTGTGTGTTCCGTGCTTTTCTACAAAAATCGTTTTTATAAAATTATGCGTTTTGACATAGAGAATAAATATTCACATAGAATAAGTATTCAGCGAGTGATAATACCTTCTCTCGGAGACGCAATTCGATCGGTTCTAAATGGGAACTATTTCCACTGCTATCTGAATTTTCGCTAATCGAGGGAGTATCGCTGTCAGTGCATTCTTGAAAGTCTGATTCATAATCCTGAAAAACAATATAAAGTAATATAATTATCATATATCTCTTCATTAAAATTTTTTTCTTTTTTTCTTACCTCAAAATCATCTTCATAATCGTAGTCCACCTCATTCGAGTCTGCTTGTATACCAGAATGACTGTCTGTTAAAACATCTTTCTTTTGCTCTTTTTCCACGATATCTGGTCTCCTTATAGCACTATGTAGCATTCTTATCTCGCTTGGACTTAGCGTTCTGGATTTCCTGCGTTCTCTGGACGACATTTGTAGCTTAGTTCGATTGGATGCAGAGTGATCTTGCGATTTTTCTTTATCCTTTGCTCGAATCGCAATCTTTTCGTTAGATTTTTTAATATTGAGCTGGTCTGCAGTCGATTTTGGCATATATATCGTACTTTGATCTCTCTTCTCTGAATATCCCACTTGTTCTCTGGATTTCCTCTTTTTGACTGTATTGTCATCGCTTGATTTTGTAATATTTTCAGGCCTTATTTTAGAAGTTGTACTCTTCTTCATTAATGATTGACTAGACAAAGCATTAAGTGGACTAGATTTCGATGTTGAGGATACTTGTTTGACAGTCTTAACTTGAGAAGATCCGACGGATGGCTTGATAGTATTTCTAATCGGTTGTGTCCTTGTCAAGGAATTCTGCAATGATTTGGACCCTCTATCTCCATCTCCTCTGTGCTCAATAGTTCGAGATTTCCTTGGAAAATTAGGATCTGATTTTTTCGATGTATCCGTATTGCTTTCGTTACTGGATGACGTTTTTGGTTTTGACCGGACACGTGTCTTGACTGCATCTTTAGGTCCAATTTTTTTAGTTGCTCCCTAAAGAAAAATAAATTGTTATTGGAGCAAAACAGAATTTTTTATACACATAGTAAAATTTAAATTAAAATAAAATAAATAGTATTAATCTAACTAACAAAATATAATTTTTTATAATAATATGTAAATGTCAATATAAGCCAACACGTGAAATTGATATGTGATATAATTAAAGCTTTATTAAGCTAATATAGTATATGTTTTAACACTTTTGTTTCGTGTCCTCTTCAGTACATAAACTAATGATGCAAATAACAATTAGTAAGATTGCATTATGACAACTGTGTCCATTCTTAACATTTACATATTATTAGATTTACACTTCTGAGGTCCATTACTATATTATTTTTGTATAATATTTTATTTTGCAACAACATCATATATTTGATGACAATAGTTTAATTATTAAGTTAAAAATAAACACTTTAATATTTTACTGTTAAATATAATATTAAATAATAATAACAAGATAACTTTATATTACTTTTAACACTTAAAAAAAACCAGATACTTTGAAATGAACCAATCAAAGCAACATTTAAAAATGAGAAATTTTTTCATTTTTAATTTAGGCATTATTATGTGTATATATTACATATTCTTAGAGCGTGAAATAAATATTGTATAATATTAATAATATTAAAGTTTCTAGAATCAGTTCTTATAAATAAAACGTGATTAGATTCATGTCCATGCATTCTGTGTAATTAATAAAGAATGCGCGCACATAAACTATCTTTTTTATAATAGCAAAAAATTGGAATCAATACTTCCTCTTTCTCCATTACGTCTATTATCATAATCTTTACATAGCTTCGCGAAAAATGTCAATAATTTCGAGGTTGACGTAAGTGAAGTAACTTGACAAATTTACGCGTCAGTTAATACAAACAAAAAGGAACGCAATTCGCAGATATACATTTCTGTATCTAGAATATAATACGCGACACGGCAATCGAACTAATACGTTAAAAATTGTTTAAAAACTCACTTTATTGGACATTATACCGCTAATTGATCGGCGTTGACAGTTACAGTCGATCCTAAGGCAACCATGATGTAAACTAATGCGACCCACGGTGGAAGGGATATCATCCCTTCCACTACGATCTCGTGTTCTATCTACTACGTAGTAGCACGCTCGTGCTCGATTTTGCGATATCTCAGGTTGCAAATTCAGCGATCATTAACAGAATTCTTTTGCAAATTTTATTAATACCAAATCCGAACAAGCCCGAAATGTCGACTTCTTGAAGAATGCATTTGATCAGCAGATATCAAATGAAATTAAGATATTTCTAGAAAATAATATTAGCGATTTCGGCTGGGATGCACTAGTGCACATAAAGTTGTCATACATAATTGCCGTAAAAATGTATTAAAATCAGATTAAATCGTACAATCCCGAATATATTTTATTGTACAGTTAATAAAATAGTGATAATTTTTGTTTGATAATTTTTATTTCATTTTTACACTCATAGTAACTTCGGACGCTTACTCATAGTAACTGAGACGCACCTGCACATTTCGGGTGTCGGTGTAACTGATGTGTTCGGTTGGTTGAATGGTGCAGTGTGTGTGTGCCTCGCCAGTGTCGTCACACGTTCATCTGGATTCGGTACACCGATTGGTCAAGTAAAAGTTTCGAAGCATTTGTAGTCAGCATCAAGTGGATCGCACCCAAAATTAGACTCTAGCGACAAAATTAATTACCACGTAATCACACACACGCTGCTTTTCAACGTCTCATGAAAGCACCAAGCCCAACAATTACACCAGCTGGCCCCAACAAATTTATCAGGGCCATTTTGTGTACACTGCACAATTGTCGATAATGTCAGCGTTCTTCAATTACCTCTGGTGCCACTGGGGTGCCCTTTTTATAT